TGTGCCAAATAGAAGGCTGGGATTCACTGGACTGTTTTGTTCCAGGGCAGATGCTTGCTGGTTTACAGTACAGGATCTTGCTAGTGGGAGCATTGCATATGGTTAAGCACACTCTGCACTATGAGCCTGAGCATTTTTTAACAGGACATGAATGAGTGAAACAGCTTTGAATGGAATATGTAGGAGGCTTTTTTGGCCTGATGAAAACTTACTCGAGCGCCAAAAGCACTGAATGAATGGGGTGTGTGCGCGCATGTGAAAAACATGTGTTTTAAGGCCCAGCGAGAGGTGTTCATGGACAAATTGCAGAAGACTGCAATATGGTTTTGATCTGTTCAAAACGGTCGTGGACAAGCCAGGTTTTTTCCGAGCCCATCTGTGCAGCGATGGCAACAGCTATGATTGTTTGTACTGTATTGGGGGGGGGGGGGGGAGGAAACCTTCGTGCCTAACTGTTTCCAGCCGGCGGATCATGAGACAGCCCTTGGCAGCCTGCAGCACAATCACTGTGTTTCAGGGCTGGGAGGAGAATAATTCCCCAGCTGTTTTACAGCTGTTGCCCTCCTCTGGTTGGCCCCCATGTTCAGAGGCAGTAGACCTCTGAATGCCGGATGTTGGAGACATCTAGAGAGGAGGGATGTCCTTACTATGTGCCCTGGTTATGAAGCTCCCAGGAGCATCTGTCTGGCCACCCACTGGACTGGATGGCCCCTTTAGCCGTGAGCCGTTCCTGACCATGGAGAGAAGATTCAGGGCCTCCTTTTAAACCAACTGGCTGGTCCTGAACTAGAGGGACTGCTCATCTGGACCCAAGAGGTTCAGTAGGAAAGGAGGTGGTGGTCACAGTGCATTCTGGGTGTGTCTCTGGGTGGCTCCGTTGTTTGATTTCCCACTCCTGTCCTCCTGCATAAGTCTCATCCAGTGTTCCCTCTAAGCTGAGTTAGTGTGAGCGATCTCACGGTTTTTTAGCCACCGGCTCACACATTTTTGTCTTAGCTCAGGAAGGATGGCTCCAGAGCAAAGTAATTTATGCAGTAGCCAAATCACTTGCTCCCAACTTTAATGCCAGTAGCTCACAAAGTAGAATTTTTTCTCACAAGACTCCACAGCTTAGAGGGAACATTGGTCTCATCCCATGTAGGGCTCCAAGGAGGTGAATGACTGCGTCCCACATCCAGACTCCACCACACTGTATCAGCACCCTTGTTTTGTGCAACAACCATGTTCTGTACCCTGGTCTGAGAACACAGCGGCTAGGCCTGTCTGGTCCGAGGAGGTGGCAAAGTAGAGCCCTGCCGTGGCCGTGGGAGGGACGGGAGGCTGGAGCAGAGATGGGGACAGGAGATCAGCACGGGTGAAGATGGAGAACCTCAGCAACAGGTGGCTCGGACCGGGGCAGCACAGCAGATATTGCCCTTGGGTGCCCGGCAGTGCCAGCTTCATTGCTTCTCCAGTGCCCCAGGATGCTCTGGTATTGGGGCAAAAAACTCTGTGGTAAAAACCCGTCTACTATAGAGTTGTCACCCAAATACCAGAGTGTCCTGTATCACTGTTGATGCAGTGACCTCACTTTCAATGCGCCCTGGAAGTGGCAGCATCAGCGTAGGGCTCCTCCCGTTGCTGGTAACCCTTCTGGTTGCCAGCCCTCGGTCTTCTGTAGCTAGGGTTGCCAAGTCTGACCTCGGCTTTTGTGGGGGGAGTCCTGGACCCCCCGGCAGTCTTGCCGTGCGTGCTTTGCGCACGTGCCACAATGACACCACCTGGAAGTGACGTCATCACGTCGGGCACGTGGGGGTGGGGCCGCAATCATTTGAGGGGAAACCGTAGAGTTTTCCCTCGAATGATAGAGCATCCCCCCCCCCGGCAACATGGTCGACCTGATGATGTCACCTCCGGGTGGCGTCATAGCACTGGGCATGTCTGGCACTTTGGGGGCGGGGTTCCCCCCCCCGGCGGCCCAATTTGGGCCGGCAGGGAACAGGCCTCTCAAGCAGGGGTTTCTCCGCCCCCCCCCCCCGGGGAAAATGGCAACCCTATCTGTAGCAGCCGTGACTGAATATGGAAGGCTTTTGAAATATTTATTTATATTTTTGACACTGTTCAATTTGAATGTCCAAAATGTTCCTTCTGGACTCCTCACTTTTCTCTCGATTGAATGGGGGCACCAAGGTCATAGTTCATCCATAGTTCATGGCAGTGCTGTACACCCCCGAAGCTCCTTGCCCTGGAGATGGCAGCAGCTGTGCTCTGGCCCCGGCTTTTCCAAATTAAGATGTCTGTCTAATGCAGCACCTCAAAGGACCTGATGATTTCTGCAGCCTGTCACAGAGCAGAGGCGTGGCAAATGCATGTTAAACGTCGAGTGAGTGCCGGGCCTGGCATGCAAAACGGACCAAGGAGAATTGTCTGGCCCCTCGGTGAGCTGGTAATAACCAGTTCCTCGGCCACCTTGGAGATGTTCATTTAATTGAATACAATCTGCTGCCGGATTAGTGTCCCTTTGCTTGCTAGTTAATGAGGTTGGTCTAAAGCTCCTCGGTCTCTCTCCCGCCGGCACACATCAGCAAAGCTCCGGAGGGTTCTGTGGAAATGTTCAGTGTGTTTGGACCCTTCTTTGCAGATGACTCAGTAGGCTGGGGTCCATGGCGTAGCGGAAAGTATTTGGGTTGCAAAGAAGTAATCGAGACACCTCCAAGGTTTTTTACCTGCTCCAGTTGTGCGTGGCTTGAGTCGCTAAAGCAGTGGTTCACAAAGATTGTGCGGTGAGAGAGGCGGAGGTGGAACTGGAGCACAGAGCCAGCATTTCTGAGCCAGTGTAATGTAGTGGTTGGAGTGTTGGGCATGGGAGGCTTGAGTTCGAATCCCCACTCTGCCACGGAAGTTTGCAAGGTGACCTTGGGCCAAGTACCCGCTCTCAGCCTAACCTACCTCGCGGGGCTATTACTGTGAGTATAAACTAGAGGAGAGGGGAGTGAGATTGTAGGCTGCATTGGGTTCCCATTGGGGAGACAATTAGGGTATAAACAGATGAATAAATGCCAGATGCGTCCTCTATTTTGTGTCCATCAGGTGGACCTTGGTTGGCAAAACACCAGGTCAAACCTTTCCTTTACCCCGATATTTATGCTTTGCTCTCCCCCACAAGAGGCCCACAGCAGCGTAAAACATCGTTTTTGCCATCTCTCAACAACCCTGCAAGGTGCGGCTGTCAGGCTGAGAGAGAGTGACTGGCTCACGTTACCCACTGAGCTTCTAGGGCAGTCGGGGGATTCCAGTCCAAATGTCCACACTCTGAATCCAGCCGTGACATCGCGGGGGCTCTCCGTCAGCCACGCTAGCGAAGAGTGAAGCTTCAGTGTTCAGAAGCAGTATACAGAGTCATGTGGCCGGGCGGGGGGAGGTAACAGTCATCCAGGTAAGTTGCTGCCACTGTACCCGTCCGTGTCAGTGCAGATTTCCTTCCTTGGGTGAGATTGCTCAACCTTTTACCCATCTTCAGGAGGCACACCTGATCAACCAGCACAGGTAGATCAGCCACCTGGTGGTGCAGGGGGAGGAAGAAGAAGAAGAGATGGGATTTAAACCCCGCTGCCCTTCACTACCCAAGGGAGTCTCAGAGCGGCTTACAGACTCCTTTCCCTTCCCCTCCCCACAAAAGACACCCTGTGAGGTAGGCGGGGCTGAGAGAGCTCTGACACAAACTGCTCTTGGATGAGGAGTGGGGAATCAAACCTGGTTCTCCCAGATTAGAGTCCGTGCTCTTAACCACTACACCAAACTGGCACAGATTGAGGAACAGCAGCTGGCTTTTACATCAGTCAGTGGCTCTGGATTGGCTTCCCGGTGTCACCTGACTCCTAAGACCCTGAGGATTCTGGGTTGTTCTGTGCATCCCAGCCAGAACAGCCTGCAGTGCCATCTTCTGAACAGCCCAGCCTGATGGGCAAGACTCTTGGTCCAAGCCCCCCCCCAGCATGCAGAACCTAGCAGCTGCGTGGCCTTTCTCTCGCCTCACAACAGGGCTGCCTCTGATACCGTCCCCACTCCTCGAGGGACCCACAAACCAATCGTCATGAGGACTCAACATGTTTTGTCAGCTTGCAAGCTGCACAGCCCTGATTTTGTTTCTGCGTGCAGTTGTATGTGTGAAGGCGGAGAGGGGAAGAGGGTCGTTCTGTGGCTGAGCGGTTTCAGCAGACCCCTTTGAAGGGTGGCTCACATTTCGGCCATGGGCGTCAGTTGATCCTGGCTCCGTTGAAGAGCCGTGTTTGGAGGCACTGCACGGCAGCATCTCAAGTTTAACCTGGGATGTGCTGTTACACGCAGCGGGTGGCACAGTGCGCTTCTGAATGACTCCTTGTCAAGGAAGCTTCGTGATGGGGAGTGTGCGCTTTGATCGTCTCCAGCCTTCTTCTGCGCTTGCTCCAAATGAACTGGTCGTTTCATAGAGCCTGCCATTAGTCAGGCTCTTTAATTTTAAAATATTTCTAGTTGTGAGGATGATTTTTAAATTTTAAAAAAATATTTCTAGTTCTCACTCTTAAAAGCGAGACTTCTACAGTGCAGTTAGAGTAACACAGAAAGCTGGTAACATCAAAGCAGATTGGAATAAAACTCTTAACATCAGTGTTAACAAAATACAGTGTAAACATACAAAAACACGATGCCGTGAAAGCCAGCCAGCATAGTTTAAAAGAAACATAGCTGAATTGGGAGGGAGTTAAAAAAAGAAGAAGAAAAGGTTTCAAATAAAAAAGATTTCCTGGGTGGGGAACAGTGATGTAAACCATTCAGAAAAGCAAAAGATTATCACCTAGGGTAGAGATGCCAAAATTTAAGAGGCGACCAAAGGCTTGAATTTATACTGAAAGCTGGTTCATTTCAGTGCCAACTTTGTACTTTTTTGTCCATTTGTCTCCCCCCCTTTCTGTTTAATTGATTACAGATTTAATGTATTAATTGATCCAGAACTGAAAATGTGCATTTTTCTCACAGGTTGTGGCTGTTTCCCCCCCGTCAGTCTGAACAGGCGATGAAAGGAACGCACTCTCTCAGTAAAGAAAAGGTTTCTTGGGGTTTCTGGGGAACAGGATGACGACACGGACCCGTGAACTATTTCTGTAAGTCCTGTGTGTTCCAAAAATGGCAGGTACCAGATTTTAAAGCCTCATCCACAAAATCCCAGAAAGGAGAGAAAGTTAACTGTTGGGGAAGCTTAATTGTATTAGAGTCAGTTTTGGATTTGGGGCCCTGGCATGGTAATGGATCTCCACAGAGTTCTTGTGAGGATAAAATGGAGGAGAGGAGAATGATGTAAGCTGCGTTGGGTCACCGTTGGGAAGAAAGGCTGGGTATAGTTGAATTAAATAAAATAAATAATAAATACATTTGTCCTGGAGTGCATGGTGCATAATGAGTGGCTCTGAGTGAAAGGGAAATGACTGGGTAGATGATCTTTATTTATTCATTTTACTTCATTTACGGGCACCCAAGGCAGCTCTGTTTTATCCTCACGACAGCTCTGTGAGGTAGGCTAGGCTGAAAGTGTGTGACTGGCCCAAGGTCACTGCCAGCAAACTTTCATGGCAGGGTGGGGATTTGAACCTGGGTCTTCCAGTTCCTACTCTGACAAACTATCCACTACACTTCACTGGTTTAGATCTAGTGACTGACCCTAGCTCAGCCAGTTGATTTTGTGGGACTTGTACCCAGGTCTCCCTCCTCAAAGTCCAAAGCAAGTGTACCCCACTGTCTCTTTTGCATACAAAAATAACATCTTGGGAGCCTTTCCTGCTATTCTATACCTGGCTTCTAATTTCAGGTGCCAAGCTAATTTTTTGAGGTTGTTGCTTTCTTTAACAATGCCAATATTTTAATGCATTAATGACTGATGTTAAGGTTTTGGTGCACTGTATATTCATGCTTTTTAATTTTATTTTTACCTCAGAGGCCTGTTGACAGAGCAGAAGTTTCTTATTTAAGTCAAGCATAGCACAGACATTGAATGAAGTCCTGCAATCCCAAGAACTTGTCTGGGCTGACGATGTGGCAGGGCAGTGAAGGAAGTGTCAGGGAAAAAATGAATTTTAACACAGGAAGTAGGCTAATGGAGACAATACAGGGCAAGGGCTGACAATTTTGGGATGGTGAAAAAAGGCCATTGACTCTCAGAGCAGTTTGGCTTGCTCCTTAAAGAAAAGCAAGGTTTCAGAGAAAAGCCAGTTCCTCTGGTGCCAGATTATCTGTTCAAAATCCTTAGGTTAGAACCTTAAACTGTTACCTCAGGCAGCAGTAACCTGTCAGCCAGTTTAGTGTAGTGGTTAAGAGCGTGGACTCTAATCTGGGAGAACCGGGTTTGATTCCCCACTCCTTCACATGCAGCTGCTGGTGTGACCTTGGATCACTTACAAGTTCTTTCAGAGCTGTTCTCTCAAGGGCAGTTCTCGAGAGAGCTCTCTCAGCCCCGCCTGCCTCATGGGGTGTCTGTTGTGGAGAGGGGAAGGGGAAGGAGATTGTAAGCCACTCTGAGACTCCTTCGGATCGTGACAGGTGGGGTATAAATCTAATCTCCTCCTATCTATTCCAGCTTTTTTGAAAAAATCCTGTTGTTCCCCCAAGGAGCTCAGGGCTGTATCCATGGTTCCTCCTCCATTTTGTCCTCAAAACAACCCTGTGAAGTAGGTTAGGCTAAGAGAGTGATGGGCCTAAGGTCACCGAGCGAGCTTCCTGGCTAACCTTGCATGTACCCACTTCACACCTCACCTAACCTAGTTTAAAGAGACATGGGGTGCCCATTCTGTGTTGCCCCAAACCCTCATTCAGCCCATTTTTCCAGTAATGCTGCCATGATTCACCTAAATAAACTGAGAGGGAGGCCTCTTCCTCCCCCCCCCCCTTATTCTGCTGTAGTTCATAATGAGAGGCGGTCGCTGGGAGGGGGCTGTGCACTCACACGGATGGAACACTACCTGCCTTGGAGGACAACGGCACAGGAAATTCCCCTCACTCACTCAGCATCCTCTCTTTTCCACTCACCTTCCTGCTGGAAACTCGCCTTCCATGCTAGGAACTGGTGCCCTGCTCACCTTCCCAAGTCAGTTGGCATCAAAATGAGGGCAGCCCCTATTCGTCTCTATTTGTGTCAAGCAGGGGTCCCCAACCCTTTTGAACCTGTGGAACTGGAATTCCGACACAGCCTTGGAATTCTGACACAGGTTGGTGGGCACAGTCACAAAATGGCTGCCACAGGACGCCAAGTTGGCCGCAAAATGTCAGGGAGTGGGGTCATGCATAACTCTAACCGTAACTCTCCAACCTTTCAGGCAGAAGATCTGTTTAACGAGATGCCTTTTAAAATTTACGTATAATTTAAAAATACCACACATGTAACAGAAGTTCTTCATTCTTGTGTGTGTGTCTGTCTGTGTGTGTGTGTCAATGAGAGAGAGAGAAAGAATATTTACATGGGGATTTATAGGACTAAGCTAAACCCCATTGGCTTCTCCTGCCACTTGGCTATCACTGAATTAGCAAACTTCAGTATCTCTGCTCACCCAGCAGTGCTGGCAGAACCCTTGGACAGCAGGTTGCAGGTCAGCCCAAAAAACCACCCACCCCCCCCCAGACCTGGGGAGTTGCCACAGAGAGTCAGGTCTATGGGGATGCTGTTGCCAGCGTCCCAGGCAAGAGTGGTGGGAATGGGAAGTGCTTCACACAGACCTTGCAGTACGACAGAAGGACATGAGAAAACGAAAGGTAGTCAGAGCCCCCTAAAAGACTCCCCCCCCACCCCGAAGTTTAAATATTTTCTATTTGAAATCTCCCACCCTCCTCTTAATGAAAATTAGGTAATAGGTCATGTCCAGAATCCATTCTCAGTGCAATTTCAACCATCAGTTCAGCCTGTGCCAGAAATAAATGGAACTTCTGTTATGTTTTCTAAGGTAAACTGGCAAAAATGTTCATTTCGGAACCTGTGGCACTTCTTCCCACTGCCTTTGGGTGGTTTTGAGATATCTGAGAAGCACTGAGCCACAATTTTGTAATATTTCAGCAGTTCTGAAGATTGCTTGTGTAGCAGTGTGTGTGCTTGCAGCCTGGTTTGCCAGTTTCATATTTCAAAGCGAATGGCTGCCTGGAAAGAGCTAGGAAGAGGAGCCAGATTAGGGGCGAGGCCTTGGTGGGATCTGGGCAGGGTTATGGGCAGAATTTGGAGAGACTGGGGTGGAGTCAGAGCAGACCACAGTGATTCAGGACTGTCCTCTCCCCTCAGTAGGGGGGGGGGAAGAGGTAATTTTGTATTAAACACAGTTAGGGCACTTGCAAACTGGCATCACCACTCCACCTAATGGTTTTCCTTTGTCCTCACCCTGTATGTGAATTTTCACAGAAGTCTGTAACATTTGCTTAGGAATTTCAAGCCAAATTCATTCCAGCTTCTCCTGACTTAAATGTTTGTGTTAAAAGAAATATTTTTAAAAGGACTGCTACCTCAATGAATACTTTTCTAATATCTGTTTGTGTTCCCCCCCCCAGTTAAACATGCTTCTAAGTCTTTGGACGCTGTAGTGTTTTGGAGGCGTTGCACTGGACGGCCCCTGTGGTGGAGTCATCAGGACCGTTGTGCCCTCTTGCCACGGCATCTTCAATGTCCCACGTTTGTGTTGTGGATTACTGGTCGGCAGTGTTAGGCGATGGCTACGTAGTCTCTTGACAGCGAAACTGGAAAGGCAGTCCGGGCCTTTTCCTGCCTTCCTCCTTGGCCTGGGATTTCTATCTTTTGTTGGTTTTCTGTTTGCTACCTCAACAGCTGATCTGAAAAGGTTAAACATTTTTCAAAAGCAGTTATCAAAAATGACAAGTCTGTTCCGCCGGAGCAGCAGCAATGGCGGCTCGAGGAGCAGTTCTTCCACACAGGAACTCAACAACAGCCGGCCCCCCAGGCAGGTGCGGCGGCTGGAGTTTAACCAGGCCATGGAGGATTTCAAGACTATGTTTCCCAATATGGATTACGACATCATTGAATGTGTTTTGAGGGCTAACAACGGAGCTGTGGATGCCACCATCGACCAGCTGTTGCAGATGAACTTAGACGGCAGTGGTTATGATGACAGCTCGGATTCAGACGACAGTATTCCTCCTGAGGTAACCTTGCTGTGACGTGGGGGAGGCGGGTAGGGGTGCACACTCCTTTCCAGACTAAAGGGCAGACTAATCCACAGAGCTCTACTGAAGTGCTGCTGGACTTGAATCTTGCTGCAGACCGATACAACCGCCCTCTGAAACAATTTGTTATGTTGCTAGGTTAGCAAAAATGAATGGGAATAACAACCAAACTTTGAGTGGCATTAGTCTTAATCAGTTTCCCTCTGTTGAGCAGCTAATGGCCGCATGTGTGGCTTTTCCTTGCCTGGGTTCTTGTCTCCTATCCATCTGAAATTTGGCACAGGGGATCCCTTGGATGCTTGGTACAGTCCCTGAGAACTTCATCTAAATGGGATGCAAAGCAGGACTGCCTCTCCCAGTGTCAACTTTGTAGGACGGCTCCTTTGCTCCAGACCGATACCTCCTGATTATTCCCTCCTGTAGAGTAGTTAGGATGGTCACGGCTCTTCCTGAAGCTGTTAGGAAGCTTTTCGCTTGGTTGAGATTCCGCAAGCTGTGCGAGGTGGGCTTTCGACGCTACCGCCTCATTTTTAATTACATATACTATGCTAGTTTTTATGAATTCGTAATTGAATATTGTTTTTATTATCATCGTAACTCAACTGCAGGCTGTGGAAGATCGGTAGTTCAGCAGTTCGAGACCCGAGTTGCCGCATGATGGCGTGAGCTCCCGTCTCTAGTTCCAGCTCCTGCCAACCTAGCAGTTCGAAAGCAAGAAATTTCAAGTAGATAAATAGGTACCACTTCGGTGGGAAGGTAACAGCGTTCCGTACGCCTTGGTGTTTAGTCATGCCGGCCACATGACCACGGAAACGTCTTTGGACAGCACTGGCTCTTCGGCTTTGAAACGGAGATGAGCACCGCAACCCTAGAGTCGGATTTGACTGGCTTTCGAGCAAGGGAACCTTTACCTTTACCTTTAACTCACCTGGAGCCCAATTTAGGAGAATGTTAAGCTTCAATGTTTTCTTAAATATCAGTACAGTAAGTTTAGTCTGGAAACGTTTCCTTCAAAACCAAAAGGGAATGAAAACAGATTTAAAAATGAAATGAAGGTATGTGATAATGGGTATACAGAAAATGAAAGAAGCTTTTGAAACCAGAATGAGCATGAAAATGACAACATGGCCACGTACACAGTGGGGAGAACCACGCAGAGTTCCTTGGAGGAAGGGAGGGATTGATAGATTCCCCCCCCCAGTCAAAAATTGGATGTAAAATGTTCAGCTTGTGGTTGTAAGATGTACTACATGGTGTGTTTTGCTCATTTGTTATTTGTGTATTATGGCTTCATGTTCAGTAACAAGTAAAAAAGCCACATTTAGGCTCGGCTATAAATTGTTTCAGAGTCCCAGATGGCAGCGTCTAACTTTTAGACCCCAACTCTTGCTGTGTATTTTCTTGCAGTCTGGCCTGTGCTGTCGATGCAGAGCACGTGCTTTGTGTCCTGGAGGTTCCAGATTTATCTTTCCTGGCATCTTGATGCGGAAGGATCTTGGCCCGGCAAAGGTCTCTGCATGAGAGTGTCTGCCAGCATTCACACACTCCCACAAAGCAAAGCCCAATGCCGTTTGCAATACAAACCATAAAAAGTATTATGGTTGCAGACTTAATCAATTTAATTGGTAGATTAATCTACTGGTGCTTTAGTTGATTGACAAGGGAGGATAACTTTAAGTGAACAGGACTACGTCCTAATCCCGAATGGTTAGCTGGTGGCGTCTACAGGGAGCTGGATGTTTAGTACAACAGGGCAGGAGGCAGATAGTAGAGTCTAGGACTGTCAAATTCCAGAAGCACCAAGTGAAGACTGAAATGCCCAGTAGTGAGCATTGTAATCCAGGGCAGGCAAGCCATAAAATCCCAACAGTGGCAACATGTGGAAAGGTACAGGCACTTAGCCAGACTGAGAAACAGGTTCATCTTTGTGGCTTCTGAGGACCAGCCTTATCTTTTTTTGAGAAAGGTACTGCCTTGCTGGATCAGGGGAATGCTGTAGACATAGTTTATCTTGATTTCAGTAAGGCTTTTGATAAGGTTCCACATAATATTGTTGTTGACAAATTGGAAAAATGTGGTTTGGATCCTGTCGTAACACTATATCCGGCAGCTCTTTTCTTAACCAGTGATTTCAGTTTATTAGAACAGAATACAACAACACAGAACACACAGAACAAACCTCAACTTATATAAAGTTTGGAACTGGCTAAAGCACACCCCTAGAACAGTAAGGTCCAATCATAAGTGAGTGCTTAGGACCAACGTTCCCTCTAAGCTGTGGAGTCCTGTGAGCAAAAATTCTGCTTTGTGAGCTACTGGCATTAAAGTTGTGAGCAAGCGATTTGACTGCTGCATAAATTAGTTTGCTCTGGGGCCCTCCTTCCTGAGCTAAGACAAAAAATCTTTATTAATGATTTGGATGAAGGAATAAAGGGAATGCTTATTAAATTTGCAGATGATACTAAATTGGGAGGGGTAGCAAATATGGTAGGATACAGGATGATCTTGGCAGGCTGGAAAACTGGGCTAAAACAAATAAAATGAATTTCAATGGGGATAAACGTAAAGTTCTGCATTTAGGTAAGAAAAATCAAATGCATAATTATAGGTTGGGGGAGACTTGTCTTGGCAGTAGTGTGTGCGAAAAGGATCTAGAGGACTTA